TGACCCACGTGAGCCGGGCAGAGATTCTGCTTTTCTAGCAAGGTTCTCACTGGCTGGTGATGCTTATTACATTGAGTAGCAATGCTGTATGACTCTCTTTAGGAAGTCCTTCTTCTGAGCCCTCTTGTATTCTCTACAGTAATGCTGTATCTTAGATAACAGCTCATTATCCTTTCTACATGCCTGTATTCTCTGCCTGCAAGCCCCCTAGAGAGCAGGAGCTACCCTTTATTTGTCTTAGTATCACCAAAGCCTAACATAAGGCCTAGTGTTTAATAAGGAATTGGTGAAAGAATAAATAGAAAACTGTCCAAATTGTGCCCAAACCACGGTTTGACCTATTGGGCTCTTGGACTGCTCTCTGCACTATAAGTTAGACTTCTCCCTGGGGGCAGACTAGTCAGTACTTCAGCACTACTTTGATGGAGGCTCCATGCTGGACACCATAAGGACAGAGTGGGAGAAGGAGGCAGAGACCTGAGCATTGGGGAATTCACCATCTCAGTGGTGGAACAGGGTTCAGGCCCACTTGAAGCAATGCTAGAATACTTACACAGTAACTTCTTAATACGTGCAAATCAAGGGAGTGTGACTGGAAACCGAAGAAAGTAAAGAGCAACCCATCGGTGTCCTGGCAGCTTACACTTCCAAATGCCTAACCTTTAGTTGCTTGCTTCTTCCCTTGTTGAAACTGGGATTGCTTTCTGGAGGAAGTTGGCATGGAGCACAAGGCACCCCGCTGTGTAGGGACTCACTGCCATCCCAGAGCCACAAAACCATGGACGGGAACTGTGACACCAGCCCTGCTCGTGTGCATGGGGCCACAGAGAGGCCAGGAGCCAGCATGAGCATGACTGGCATGGTCCGGCATGGAGAATGGTGACTGGACAGTTGGAACAGGCAGCAGCAATGTCAGCGTTAACACATTTGGAGCGAGGCGTAGGCAGAAGTGGGGCGTGGAGAAGATCCATGCTGGAGATCCTGGGGCGATGGCAGTGGCAGTCTTTACTTTCCTCATAGATGCAGAGCATTTCAACTTGGCTAATTAAACGGGAACAGCAGGCTGATAATTCTGCCAGCAGCGGGACACAAATGGTGTGGGATTGAACGCCAGCGGAGCATGCCTTTGTCCTTAAGAGAAAACACAATCCTCACATTGGGTCAAGTCCACGAAGGTGCCCCTCTCGTCCTTTTTAATTCCCTTAAAGGAACACCAAGGGGTTGGGGGCTTATGTTTCTTTTCAGGCTTTCTTTTGAGGTCACAAGAGGCCTACTGTTTCCATAGGCTTTTCTTTAAAGGGGAAGCTGGTGCATGGTTGGTCTAGAGTTTGTAATCTGCGCTAGCAAACATCCCTTATATCGGAGGTCGCAATCGCAGTTCAGGTCTGCCTCCCAGACGGTCTTCCATCACTAGTCTCCCATTTTGGTGATTTGTTCTTTGAGCATCACAATCCCTGACCTGGTTACTGGGGAAGAATGGGCTAGGAGGCCAGGGAAGAGTTGTTTTATCTTCAGAAAGTACACTGAATCTCATTAGGGAATTTGTTCCCAGTACTTCCTCTCAAAGCTTATTGATCTGATCGTCTGAGGATGTTCACGGCTAATGAATATGAAGAAGAGATTTGGAAAGTCTCAGTGCTGAGTGGTACTCTGGAGATCATCTGCTCAGGTCACCAGCGCTTGGTGTGACGGGTGAGGCCATTGACCTTGCGCCAGTCACTTCAGGAAGGGTTAACCATCCATCCACTTATTTATGATTTCATCAAATATTTATTGACCATTTACTAGAAGTCCGCCCAGACATGTACCTGACAGTGAAAACATGCTGCTATTTGATTGGTCCTGTTTGCGTCAGCCTTCAATGAGCTTCCCCTTCATTACAGATTCTGACAGCTGGTTTTACAGTGGCCCTGGGGGAATTGATTATGTAGGATCTCCAGCCAGGGCAAATAGGTTTTCTATGTGAGGTCACCAACTTCTGAGCTGCTGGGCTAATTAATTTAGCTCCTCTTGGCCTTACCTAATACATACTTGGTTGAAAAGTTATTTGTAATTCAATTCTGGCAAATGAAAAACTAATTTCAACCACTCAGGCAGCTTTTATTTAAAGAGACCCTGGAGCAACTCCTTTTGTAATGTGAAAAATCCTGTTATTGTTGCTGGAAATGATCATCCCCTAGTTAAGGATTTTGTAAATTTGGATATTTTGGGGTTTCTTAGAGGGGTATGGCCTGGCAGATAGCACAGCCGTGGTCTGAGCTGGATGGGGAGGATGCTGGCCCAGAAAGAGGAAACCCTAGGAATCTTAGACCAGCTCATCCCAAGGTGCTGACATTTAGTGGAGCCCATGTTGCAAGCTGCACGAACAAGCTGCTCCCTTCTCTAGGGTCCTGAAGCCTGGAGGGGAGAAGGAAGTGGTGGGCATGATGAGTGGGTGTGAAGATGAGATTTGGAGCTCCCTCTCCTTTTTCACGGGTGGGAATGAGGAGGGAGTAGGATTGGGGAACCTTTTGCTTCTGTGCCAGCAAATTCTGAACTCTTCCTGGGGCCTGGGACTGTGTGGAATTAGAGTTCTCTTATATATTTTAACACAGTAGGGGAGGAGAGGAAGAGCAGTGGAAAAATAGGACAGGAGTTTAGGAGAGAAGAGGATTATGTGGATTATTGTTATACAATAAAATCTCATTAGTTGGGCCCTTACTGTTTTTGAATTTATAAACTATCTGGAAGAAGACAGGGCTGAAGTTTAGATTTTCATATTAAATTTCTTTTCTATATCAGTGATTTTCAACCCTTTCATCTTTTGGCACACATAAAATTTTGGGGCACACCAAAAAAAATGTAATTTTAAAAATTTTTTTTTTATGATCCAATGAAAAGTTGGTAGAATTTTGATTTTTTTCACCCCGGATGCCTATTGTTGTGTTAGCTGCTGTCATTTTTTTATTTGATAATCTAAGGGAAAAGAGGTCAGTGCCCCAAATAAATAGTTAGGTATCACATGTTTTAAAAATTCTTGTGGCATATCAGTTGAAAATCGCTGTTGTATAGATATGAGTAGTGTGTCTATTGATGTAGAGGAGAATGTTTTAAAACTGATGGATAGAAAAACATTTCACACATGAAAATAAGCTATTTTGATGCAGAAGCATCACTTTACACAAACAATTCATGCATTAATTAAAGATGATCCCTGTCTAGTTGGCAAAGCCTGATAAAGTGCTTCCTTACCAAGGAAGCTGAAACTTAGCCTCATTGCATGAGGGTAAAAGCAAACCAACCTGTGTATCTATTTGTTATTTCTGTAATAATTTATATTTGTCCCAATTGGTTCCTACTAGTGAGGTTTAATAGCTTTTCTGTGTTGGAAGATAAAATCAGAGCCTAAAGATTTATAAAGACTAAGGGTAGAAAGTGCAAAACAAGGCCTAGAATTAAACTTTCTTTTTTATGGTGTTATTTTTTTCTATTGTCTAAGGTAGTGGTCCTCAACCTTTCTAATGCAGTTCCTCACGTTGTGGTGACCCCCAACCATAAAATTTATTTTCATTGCTACTTCATAATTGTAATTTTGCTACTGTTATGAATCGTAATGTAAATATCTGAGATAGTTGGGAGTCACCACAACATGAGGAACTGTGGTAAAGGGTCGCACATTAGAAAGATTGGGAACCACTGGCCTATGGTTTTCTTAAAGTGAGCCTCGCAGTGAATTATTCCAGCATCAGGTACGATGGGCCAACTTGTAAAGAGAAGCAACTGATGAATGAAAAGACTCACTGTCTTCACTTAGTGAAAAATGAAAAAGAAAAATAGGTGGAACTGTCAGAGACACACAGGAACTTTGTTTTGGATTAGGATGTGACCAGACGACTGGTATTTGGGGATATCATATATCGCTTCTATTCTATGGTTGAGTGTGCAATGGGCTCATTTCTCTTCCTTAGGCCAGTGATTTTAATCCTGGTTGTTGTAAAAATTCCTGACAATATTGGATCTCTTGAACTTGTCAGTGTTTAGGGGTTGAGACAGCCTTGAGTGGGACTGTCCTGCCCAGCATGTTTCTTCCTCTGTAGATTGTCACATTTGCACTGCAGGAGAGTAAGCCAGGAGCAGAAAGGCACGAGGGGGTGTCTGAGGGCTCTGGTTCTGTCTCACGGGACTCACACAGAGCTGCCTCTCTTCTGGGGTCCTCTGTGCCATGTCCCCTGAGGTGACACACAGCTGAGACCTGGGTGGGGCCAGCTTTCCTGGAAACTCCTTCTGGGGTACTCAGGTTTAATGACAGGGGCACCGTGGGCTGACCTGGGGTTTGAGGTGTGTGGAAGCTGGTTCCTCCCTTCCCATGCATCTCACCCCTGGCTGGGTTGTCCTTTGCCTTCTGAGGCTACTCTTTCTTGAGGCACGTGGTTATTTTCCATTCAGTGTGAGCCCCACACCTCTCCCTCCAACCCCCTAGCAGGAACTCAATGGCACCCCAGAAAAGACTTTTCAACAGAGAAGCGAGATGTAAGCGGAGACGAGTTGCTGAAGAAGGGAGTACATTTTTTTACCATGAGATTGGTGTCTTCCACCTCCTGCTTGCTGAGGGCTGATGATGGCGATGCTAAAGGGAAGGGGGAGAGGCGTGGAGAAGGGTATCACATTCAACTTCGCTTTCCATGTGGGGATTTTTTTGTGGTTTCTTTTCTCTGCTCGCAGAATGAAGACTCACAGTTGCTGTGCCACATAAAGGAAAGGCAAATAGAATGGCTTAGGGCATTGTGGTCCCTTTTGATATTAATGACCCTATTTAGATATTTGCTGCGTGCTTTCTGTGTACCAGACCCTGGGCTGGTACTAGAAGTGGACCCTCTCCTGTTCCATTGGGCCAGGCTGCAGGGCCTGAATAAGACATGACTTTCTGGCCCATGGTGTGTTTGGGAGGCTGAGGGTGGGGCCCAGGGACTCCGCCACCTGCCTTCTTTCACCCTGATTTCTTCTGTCTTGTTGTCCCACAGGTTCTTTTCGGAATGATGGTTTGAAAGCTTCTGATGTCCTTCCCATCCTAAAGGAAAAAGTGGCCTTTGTTTCCGGTGAGTGCCTGGGGAACCTTTCTCTGCGATGGACCCAGAGAAGCTGTGCGTGTGCGTGTGCATGTCTACATGCATGCACATGTGTGGCATTCACTTCTTTGTGGGTTAGTGGGAGAGAAGTGCGGGTGGAAAGGATGCTGGAAGCAGCTGCTTCCTCTCTACAGAGAAGAGAAGAGGGAGCTCTAGTCCGAGCTGGGTGTTCTAGAGGATGCTTACAATCACAGGTGGATGCACCCACCTCACACCTCACACACACACACATACCTCCCCCTGTCCATGCTCCCAGGCCCATCTGGCCTACAGGAGCCACTGAAGCCCCTTGGAGAGAGGCTCCAGCTGGAGTGGTCTGTCCACATCATAATTCCCAGAGGTTTTATTTGGTTCATCTCTGAATGGGTCATGGACAGGATATTAAAATTTTCTGTCTTCTTTTTAAAAAGTTGTGTTCTATTTATTTTGAGAGAGAGAGAGAGAGAGAGAGAGAGAGAGAGAGAGAGAGAGAGAGAGAGAGAGAGAGACATCTAACAGCTGCCTCCTACTGGAGATTGAGCCTGAGACCCCGGGCATGTGCCCTGATTGGGAATTGAACCTGGGACCTCTTGGTCCATGGAATGACACTCAATCCACTGAGCTCTATATCCTATTTATGTCTCCTTCTTATCTCTGCTTCCTGGCAAAGGGAGCTCAAGTGAGTGTTTGCATCTATCTATTTATTTTTTCTGAATAGTGACTTCCAAATATTTATTTCTGACATCTTTCCAACCCATCTTGTGCACCTGGGCCTTTTAAAGTCAAATTCAGGGATCAGAAAACTATATAGCTGGTAGATCAACCACTTATTTTTTCGTAAATAAACTTGTTGAATGCAGCCATTGAATGTGTTTAGACAGTATATTTGTTTCCTTTTGCCATTATAACAAGTTGCCAAAAAATGGATGGCTTACAACAGCAGGAATTGATTTATTCTTTTGCAGTTATGGAGGCCAGAAGTCCAAAATCAGTACTGGGCTGAAATCAGGGTATTGGCAGGGCTATGCTACCTCCGGAAGAGTTTGTGTCTTGCCTCTTCAGCTCTGGTGGCTGTCAGCATTCTTTGGCTTGTGGCTGCATCATTCCCACCTCTGTCTCCATGTTCACAGTGCCTTCTGCAATTCTGTCTATGACAGATCTTCCTCTGCCTTACAGTGAGGATACCTGTGATTGTATTTAGGGCCCATTCTGATAATCCAGGATAATCTTCTTATCTCAAGTTTCTCAACTTAATCACAACTGCCAAGATTCTTTTCCCAAATAAGGTAACATGCACAATTCCCAGGGATTAGGACTGGGTATGTTTGGGGACAAGCCTAATGAGAAATAGTTCCAGCAGAGATAGATGGCTATACCCCTAACATATTTACTGTCTGGCCCTGAAAGAAAAAGTTTGATGAAGCCAAACTCTAAGGTGCACCAGCATCACTCTGGATGCCAGTTCTAGGGCTTCCTATATACCTCCTGGATCAGACTCACTGGCACAGTTGGGGGATGGCAAAATAAAGAGCCCAGGATTACATTTAAAGAGACCTGCTCAAGTGCTTAAGCCTTGTGCATGGACTTTGGCTTCTAGATAATCCTGGTCATCTACAAGGAGTGGCAGCCGAGTGACAGGGAAAGAGCCAGCTCTGTCAAGTGCTGGTCTGGCTTATGGGTGACTGCCAGAAGGGAGGGGAGGGTAACCAAGCAGCAGGTGTCTCCCACCTGACCAGAGGGAAGAAGCAAGTCCATCCCATGATACTATGATTAGTACTAATACTACTACTGCTACCAGGACTTCATTATTGTTGATGCTGATAGAGGAGCGTTACCAGGAAGCTGCTTATTCCATCCGTGTTAGGTGCTTGTCTCTGTTGGGCAGTGAGCCCCTGTCCCTGAAGATGTTGAGTGAAACAGGCTGATCCCTGGGCAGGATCACATGCAGCGATTTTAGCAGGAGAGGAGACGGAGCTAGGACAACCTTCAAAGCCTTTGCAAACTTGTATCTGAGTGCTTGCTGGGCACGAGGGAAGATCTTAAGTAGAAGTCCTGGAGGCCACGGGATAGCACTGAGCCTCTAATTTCTGCTGCTGCCCATCAGCTGGCCTCCCAGGACAGGGCCCAGAGCCCTCTGGGGAGCCCTATTGGATCTTTTCCTCTTCTTTATGGCCTGAGCCTATAACCTGATGTCCTCCTTGTCCCCTGGGAATCCTCCTAGTTGTCCCATTCTCTCATGCCTGGTGCTTCCTCTACCCAGAGTGCCTTTCCTTCCCCATACTTTATTCCAGTCTGAGCCTTTCTTCTCCTTTCCAAGTCAGTTCCCACTTTGCCTCCTCCAGAAGGCCTTCCTGGCTTTAGTGCTTAGGCTTTGAGCCCCATCTTGTTCCACATCAGTACGGGGTATATGAATGTGGACGTGGTACACTTTGATATGACAACTCTTGCTTGATTGTTCATGGTTTATTTTTCTCTCGTGTGATCCAGGGCCCAGCCAGCCCTAGAGAAGAGCTTCTCAAGTATAGGGAGTTGTCCTAATGAGCACCATAAGCAAGGTGCCAGGAAGGCATCTAGTCAGGCATGAGCAGGACCAAGGCTCTGTACAGCTCATGCCCATGTGCCCATGTCGGTCCAGCAGCGTGGAGTCTTATTCGTGCCCTTGGACTTAGGGAACATTGTCCTTCCGTGCCTGGGAAGGATGCTGGGAGCCCCAGGGAGAAGACTGCCTGCATCTAAAACACAAAAATAAATTTAAAAAAAAAAAAAAGCTCCTTGTATCCTGAGCTTTTAGAAGACAAACCACAAAATAAGACAAATTAAAGAAACCCAGAATTAGATAACGCAGGGTAGCAGTTGTATTTGTTTCCGAGAAGAAAGGACTGCGGGAAGGCGGTGAGCAGAGAAACAAAACTGTTGATTGTGCCCGCCCTCCCGTGCTGGGCCCCCGGCAGGGCCAGGGTACGGGAACGCAGTGCTGCCATGGGAACGCACATTTAGAATAACCCAGTCCAGCCCCACGGCTTCTGCACGTGGGCATGTGCACGTGTGTGACGGGATCTGGGGCTGCCTCATCGAGCCTTTTTGTCCCAGCCTGGCCCCATCCTGCTCCGTCATTCATAACCTCCCCCTGGGTCCTCCCCCTGGTTTCCTTTGTGTGTTATGCCTCCCACTCACAGTACCGACTATCCCTTTTCTCCAACCTTCTTGTGCGGGGTCCATGGCATCCTGGTACCTTTCTGTGTGCTCACACTCCCCTTCTGGCCACCTCCTGATGTCCCTCTCTGCCACGGTTCCCAGGGAACCTGTGCTGCTGCGGCACAGTCTTGTGTGTGTGCTCCAGGGCTGAGTCTCTCAAAACGTGTTCCAGGGAACAACAGTGCCCCTCAAAAGAGAAAACGGGGTTCTACTCTCAGATACATTTGTGAAATACTGCATAACGCAGCCCCCCTCTTAGGAACCTGCCACGTTATTAAAGCACCTATCTGTGGAGCAGCTGAGACCATTCCCCTTAGAATTATTATGATATCCATGAACATCTTGCAGAACTAAAGTTACTTGGACCAAACTTCAGTATGATTCTTCCTTTATTTTAAAAAATATATATTTTATTGATTTTTCACAAAGAGGAAGGGAGAGGGATAGAGAGCCAGAAACATCGATGACAGAGATACATCGACCTGCTGCCTCCTGTACACCCCCCACCGGGGATGGGCCCGCAACCAATGTACATGCCCTTGACCGGAATCGAACCTGGGACCTTTCAGTCCACAAGCTGATGCTCTATCCACTGAGCCAAATCGGTTCAGAAGTATGATTCTTTAGATGTACTTTTCTTTTCTTCCCCCAAAACTGCCCTGATCTGCTTGCCCCAACTTTCCCTGTGAAAAATATAAGCACCATTCCCCTCCGCCTCGGTCAGGGAAGCCTTAACTCTCCCTGGTCCCACCCCGCCTCCTCCACAGCCCCAACTGGCCCTGCCTCAGTGGAAGAGAGTCTAAAACATCAAAACAGCCCTTCCCTCTTTATTTTCTTCACTCCTGTCTTGCAGCTTCTATCACCAAAGCCTTGCACACATAGATAAACAGCAGGTGCTTGATAAGCAAGGGAACGGTGCTTTGGAAGTTCCTGCCACCATCTCCATCACCTTTTTGAAACTTGGCTGCTTTTGCCTCCCACCCTCCGGGCCCACTGCCCTAATGCACACTGACTCCAGGAGGGGCTTCTCATTTTTCATCCCTGCCTTCCCTGTCTGTAACTTTAGCACCCCTGTCAGTTATCGATTGGATTCTATAGCTTTGCGGTTGCTCAGCCTTCTTGGCAGCAGAATCCTCCACCTCCCGGCCATGGCCATGCACATCCAAGACCTTGACCCTGACATATCTGCCTGTGGCCTTCAGCTCTTACCTTTGACCCTTTCTGACAGTCCCCCGTCAGTTGGGAGAATATGGATGGCAGATGAACAAAGCATGCCGTTCCCTCACCTCTGGGAGCTCATAATCCAGCAGGATGTTTCTTGCCCTCAGTGGTCCCTGCTCCACTCACCCCAGCATTGGCTCCACTGTGCCTTGGTTCATGTCAGAGCCTGACAAGGGCACCACGGCCAGACCTTTCAGCAGAGCCCTCACTACGCCCCCATACCCTGCCACCTCTCTTAAGCCTGTATCATACCCAATCTTCATTCTTTGGGACACTTGCCAACCATGGCCCATTCCACCTCTATCCCAGCACCTCAAGCCTCCTGACCCTTGGCAGGTGATCTTATCTCCTATTTCATTTAAAGAACTGTGTTCCCCATGCAGGCCGAATCCCTCCCTTTCCATACTTCCTGTTTCCTCCTCCCTCTTTGCATTCCATTAGCCTGCTGCAGACCCCCATCCACTCATACCTGCTCTGAGGCCTCGTTCCATCCCTTGCCCCACTTTTGCCAGCAGAGTGATTCTCTTCCTCTGTGCTTATTCCTCCTCTTCTTCCTATCATCTTGGAAGGTCTTCTCCTTTCTAAAAAATATCTGGCTTGCCGAAACCGGTTTGGCTCAGCGGTAGAGCATCGGCCTGCGGACTGAAAGGTCCCGGGTTCAATTCCGGTCAAGGGCACGTACCTTGGTTGCAGGCACATCCCCAGTGGGGGGTGTGCAAGAGGCAGCTGGTCGATGTTTCTCTCTCATCGACGTTTCTAACTCTCTCCCTTTCTCTCTGTGTAAAATCAATAAAATATATTAAAAATATATATATCTGGCTTGATCCTGCTGCCCCTTCCTGACTCTTATCTATACTTCCTGAAGGGAGGGGATTGCACTGCGTCAGGCTTTCTCCCCTCACTCCCCTCCCCTGCCATCTGGACCCTTTCCCGGGTGTGATTTTGTGAAACTTCTGTCTCCAAGGACAGAACTGGCTCTGGCTCAGGGAGGACACTGCCAACAGCCCTCCAAACTGCTTGGTTAGCCTTTGCCAACCAGACCAGCTTGGGCTCCCCTGTTCCCATGTCTCTTCTCTTAAGCTGACGTGGCAGCCAGGAAGGAAGGCAACAGTTGCCCCATTAGAAGCGCCACCTGAGGGAAAACCCTCTGGGTGAGGGCAAAGCTGGAGGGGAAGGTTGAGCGTGTGGGGACCTCCTGGCTCCCATTCAGTCTTTCTGCTTCCTTTCCTTTACCTGGAAGGCAGCTGAGGTGGTTATTTGTGTAAAGAACCAGGGTGTGCGATATGGAAAGTCTGGAGCTAGGGGCTGGGTTCAACTCTTGTATATCCACACAAGTCTGCCCTGGTGCGGGGCTGGAGGAGGGGACAGTGCGGAGACAGATTTTCTTCAGAGCAAGTTTCTTAGTGGCCCTGATCTTTTTTTTTTTTTTTTTTTTAACATATATATATTTAATTGAGTTTTTACAGAGAGGAAGAGAGAGGGATAGAGAACTAGAAACATCGATGAGAGAGAAACATCAACCAACTGCCTGCTGCACAACCCCCACCGGGGATGTGCCCGCAACCTAGGTACAGGCCCTTGACTGAATCAAACCTGGGACCCTTCAATCTGCAGGCCAATGCTCTATCCACTGAGCCAAACCGGTTTTGGCAGGAGCCCTGATCTTATGTGATTCTTTTTTCCTTGCAGCCTCATTTCCTCTCTTCTGGAATGGATTGGGTTTTTGTTGTTGTTGTTGTTGTTGTTGTTGAGCCTCCCCTCTGTCTGTGTGACTTCAGGACCCCACAATCACAGGGAAACATCCATGCACTCACCCTTGGGCTCTACCTTTGTTTGCAAGAGATCCTTTTTCCAAGGGCTAAGCTTTAAGCTTTTTTCCCTGGGGGGAGTGGGAGGGGTGAGGGCGTGCCAACCCTCCCTCCCTCTCACATTAGATTCCCTGTGGACCCTGCTCTGGAGGACTGGAGAGGCTGCCTGGCAAGCATGTGAGGTGGGGGGTCTGTGGGGGGGACACAGAGGTTTGCTTTGTTTGATAGTCGGTTCCTGTAAAGTCACGGTTGCTGCACCTTTGCTTTGTCCCCATCTAGCTCTCCTGGGAAACCTGGCCCTGCTTCCTAATCACCCACCCCTTAAAGAATCTGAAAACTGAAATACATTTTTAAATCACAGAGTAAATAGTGAGTAGGAAGCTTGGAAAAGAGAGGAAAGAAAGGGTTATCATGTCAAACCCCAGTCTTCTAGTAACAGCATGCTCATCATTGCAATGTACTCCTGCCAGCTTTTTAAAAAACATGGTATGTAGAAAACATTTGTAATCGTAGTGTGTACGATGCATATGTCGCAGTTAAGACTTTAGGGATCTTGGTTTCTAATAAAGATTCACGTGTTCCTCCAGCGGGAGGGACAGGTGGCACCTCAGGCAGGCTGGCGGGGCGGGTCCTGGACTGTGTAGAAAACAGTGTCCTTCTGCCGAAGCCGGTTTGGCTCAGTGGTAGAGCGTCGGTCTGCGGACTAAAAGGTCCCAGGTTCGATTCCGGTTAAGGGCATGTACGTTGGTTGCGGGCATATCCCCGGGGAGGGGGGGGGGTGTGTGTGCAAGAGGCAGCTGGTCGATGTTTCTCTCTCATCGATGTTTCTGGCTCTCTATCTCTCTCCCTTCCTTTCTGTAAAAAATCAATAAAATATATTTTTAAAAAAAGAAAAGAAAACAGTGTCCTTCCTATGAGTCTAAATCCTCCCAGCAGTGATGGCCAGCTGGAAGCTTCAGGGGCTCTCATTGTAGAAGTCAATTAACTCCCCCCTCACAGCCCTGTGAGGAGAAGTACATTGGAGGTTAAATTTCCTAAGACTGTCAGGGGCCTGCTTTCTCAATAAGAATAGCTACACCGCCTTCACTGTTATTTCACATTTGTAAAGAGCTTTATTTTCCAAAGTGCTTCCCCACAAGCCATCATCTGTCCATCCAGCATCCCTGTAATGTGGTCGCTTTTATTTTCATCTGCGTTTTGTAGACGAGAGGCATCAGAGAAGTCAAAAGACGTGCCCAAGGTCACACATGTTACCGCAGCCAAATGCCATGCCCCTGTCCGAGGTGGCCAGGCTTCTCTGGGCACCGTGTTCCTGCCTGTTTCATCCAGCACGCGGATGGAACTCTCTCCCCCTGCAGCACGCTGTCTGGCTGGTTTTCTCATACTCACCCCTCTCCCTCCCTGCAGGGGGCCGTGACAAACGAGGCGGGCCCATCCTGACCTTCCCTGCTCGCAGCAATCATGACAGAATAAGACAGGAAGACCTTCGGAAACTCGTGACCTATTTGGCCAGCGTGCCAAGGTAAGGTGAAGGGGCATGTCCCACAGGGGGTGGGGGAGGGGATCTGGGCTGATGCGAGGGAGTTGGAATGAGCCTCCATCCCTGCCAGAGGCCAGAGGTGTTTCTGCCCTTGTAGTGGATCCTAGTTATTCCTGGAACACCATCAGCCATTGTTCGCCGAGTTCCCATCAGTCCCATTGTTCCTTTTGGGATTCCTGTGAATGGAGTGGGGGCTGAAAGTGGGGTCTGCGGGCAGAGGTGAAGGTCCCAGGCTCTGAGGACCAGGCCTGCGCCTAGAACAGGGAGCTTGGCCTGGGGAGGAGGGCTGGGGACCCTGCAGTTTCCTTTGGGGAAATGGGAGCTCTGACTGACTACACTCTGGCTTGTGTATTGGATTATTTTTAAAACCTGTGGCTTGTGAATATGTTTCTGGCTCTTGGAGTTTGGGTCAAATAACTCTACTTGTACCACTCCAGAAGCAGCTTTCAGCTCAATCTAGGTCATACATTTTCAAGGGAGATAATAGCGTCATCCAGGGGGAGTGGTGCTGGAGGTAGCAAAAAACTTGCTCCTTTATGCATTAAGCACAGCTCTATATACAGCATGTAAACAGATATATCATATATTTGAATTATTAAAATTTCATTGGGTGGATGATTAAGGGGAAAAGTATGGAAAGTTTTATTGGGGGTAAAGACAATGATAATAAAAAATAAACAGATTGATAAACCCTGGTTTCTGAGTGTTTCCAGGTGGTGCTGGCCATAGAGGTTGGTGGAGGAAGACATGCCAAGAGCATGGTACATGTATATATGCATAGTGGTCTATGTCTTTTAAGGAGGGAGAGGAGAAGTCTCTGTCTGATCAGAGAATCACAGAATGTGAGAGCCAGAAGAGCCCTGGAAGAAATCCAGGCGACTGCGTGCTTGGTCTGCTTAGGAAGCAGGGTTGAGATGCGGGAACGTTGTATATGGGTGTCAGTGGCAGGGCTGGGCCCAGGACTAGGTCCTCCTGACTGATGACCCGGGGCTCTCTGCACCCTCACAGAGATGAGAAATCTGTTCTCTGCCTCCTACTGGGACTGGGGTCTGGCCAGCGTTCGTGTGGCAAATAAGCATTCGTGCCCGGGGCTTTCAGAATCTTCATCTTGTGTCTGTGCATTTTGTAGGAGAATTAGTCAGTTACAGAGAGGAGCTATATGTTCAGCACTGCCTTTGCTGGACGGCCTTGGGTACTTCTTGAACATACTGATTAAGTTCTTTTCTTTTCTTTTTTCTTCTTCTTTTTTTTTTTAACCTATTTTATTGACTTTTTACAGAAAGGAAGAGAGAGGGATAGAGAGTTAGAAACATCGATGAGAGAGAATCATCGATCAGCTGCCTCGTGCACACCCCTTACTGGGGATGTGCCTGCAACCAAGGTACATGCCCTTGACCGGAATCGAAACCAGGACTCTTCAGTCCACAGGCTGACGCTCTATCCATTGAGCCAAATCAGTTTCGGCGCTGATTAAGTTCTTGAAGCATGTGTCAGGCGAGGCAAGCACCATATTGGAAAGAGCCACAGGGAAGGCAGATGTAAAGAGACCGGCGCATGGTGATGGGCAGGTGGTAAAGGGGATTTAAGAGCAGTCATCAAATGCTTGAAAGGATGTTGAATAGAATGAGGAGCCCTGAAGAGCTCCATGCAAAAGGCTGTGAACAAATAGACATCGAATACTGTCTATTTTTCCCCCTTTATGATATCCACTGGAGACTAGAAAAATGACAAGAGATCTTAAGCTCCAACAAAAAAAATTTGGTTAATATTCAAAGAAAAACTTCTAAACTTTGTACATGAGACTTTGAGCTGAAGAATAGAATATGAAACTTTTGTACAGGTTTTTATTCAGTCGAAGTATTCCCATCTGTCTTGGGTAAGGAGATGAGCTAAATAACCTGTGATTGATCTAGGTAATTTAGCCATCTAGGGGCTAACCAGTTTTAAAAGCACCTTTCCCTGGTACATGAACAGGCATAAAACCAGGCATTTTCTAAATCAATTTACAGGAAAACTTTTCATGGGGACCCATAATGGACTCTCAGTTCTTTCAGGGGCAGAAAAAATTGAGATCCCTGGGGTCATGAAGGTTTCATTTTTTTCTTTTCTTTTTGGTTTGTTTATCACATCTCTGCAGCTAATGCATGCTCATATTTTCTTTAGAATAGAAAGTGAGGGAGTTGGAAGAATACCTTTCTTCATTCTGACTTGTTAAGTAGAGATGGGATAAAATAGATTGGAAGCAATTAAAAGGGCGAAGACTTCCGCTGGATGAAGAGGAATGAAATCCAAGAGGGGCTGAGAGGAAGGTCACGGAAAAGGAGAAACAGCACATTCCCACTGAAGGAATAATCTAGATGCAGGCTCTTTGCTTCCCAGAGGCTAGTTGCAAGCATGGCACCCTGGGCTCCTGAGAACAGAGAAGGTTCTCCCAGGTTCCGGCAGGTGGGGGACAGGAGTCCTGTTGCCTCTTTCAGTGTGAAGAACTGTTCTGGGGTGCTTGCTGCCTCTCTCCCAAGGACCTGTGCTGACCTGGCAGGCTGCAGAGTTTACCAACTAGTCATGCCCACCCTGTCACTTCCCAACTCTGCTGACTACAAATTCACACACAAGGACTATTGGAAACAAAACCTAGAACAGAACTGTTCTGGAGACAGTGAAGGCTGGGGAAAGAAACTGAAGAATGGAGCATGTCAGATAGTGTTTGCCACCCTCCTCCTCAGCCGTGGCTTTGGGAAAGAAGGGAACTTATGAAAGTGAATAGCTAGACTAGGTGGATGACACTGATGGGAGAAATGCTCTATTCTGGGCCACGGCCCAGGAGACTGAAAGGATAGGCTCCTGTGATAGTGAAGGGCTTCCTACAGGCTGGTGTGACCGTCTGTTGGCAACATTTGACATGCATTTATTCATTCTTCATTTAGAGTCTCCATGTGCCAGGCAGCCTGTGAGAAGGAGAGATATTTGAGAAAGTTAGGGAAAACGTGGGTATTTCCCTACCCAGTGCAGACCCGTCACCATAAAGGGCAGTGTAATATATGAATTGGTCGCATTGGAGATGAACAGGCCAGCAGAAGACAAGCAAGTAAGGACCAAGAAGCAGTGAAAGAGGATCCTGGAATCTAAGGAACCACTTATCTTTATTATTATTATTATTATTATTATTATTATTATTTTATTTTATCCATAACCATTTATCCCCTCTATGCCCTCTTCCACCACCACCCATCCATCCCCCCTGCAATCACAACACTGTTGTCCATGTCCATGTGTTATCTCTTTTTTTAGTTTTGCTCAATCCCTCTATCCCCCAACACCACTATCCCCAACAAGAGCTATCTGCCTGCTCTTTTTCTGAGTCTGTCTCAATTTTGTTTGGTAGTTCAGTTTGGAACCATTTATCTTGATGGTCAATTTTGGGCACCATTCTAGAATAGATGATTAAACAGATGGTGGCGATCATTTAGAAATGAATGGCAAGAGAGAGTCCCACTGTGCTCTGTGAAAGCCAGGCCATGCTGGGACCACTGTGTCCAACTCTGCAGCCCTGGACTCTGCTAGCCTATTTTATGAGTTGTGACCAGTTAGAGAGTATTGTCAAAGGAACAGCACATTGAGAGATTGCAAACCACATCTCTGCAGTGGAAGGATAGGAGGACATTTTCTGTAAGAAATGGAAAAGTGGAAGAAAAGTGATTCCTGACTTCAGGTAGCAGGAGAGCTGCCCCCAGGACCAGGGAATAGGCACAGTGTCTGTGGCATGAAGGGATAGGAGTTAGAGATCAGGACTGAGGGGAAGGAGAACCTGCTCATGTGGGAGCTGTCCAGCAGCAATGCCGCTGCCTCTGGAGAAAGTGAGCTTCCTGCACCAGAGACTGGGTGACCTTCCGTTAAGGATGCAGCAGAAGGAGTTCCTCCGTGGGGCTGGAGGCTTGATTTCTAGGAAGCTTTCCTGCCCTGAAATGTGTGTTTCTATAATATCGATACTTGGGGGTGGGGGGAAGGAGACACCAAAAAATCATAAAATCTAGGACCTCAAAACAGAATATTACTACCCCACCAACATACACTCCCTTTCTCAGGCTCCCTAAGTAAGTAAGGCCTAGAATTCAGATCTTGTCTGTGTCTTAAATTCTAAGAGAATTGCTTTCTAGTCTCCTTGGACTCTGGGTGGGTATTTTGGAAATTCACTTGGGATCATCCCAGATCATCCTGGTTTGACAGTTTGGAACATTCCTAGTTACTCTTTTGGGATCCAACTTCCCTTTCTTGTTCCTGACAAGTTTGAGCAAATACCTTCTGTGTCTTCTCCAAACTTTCTATTATTTTGTGCTGAGAAATTATAGGATATCAAGGTAGGAAGCCTTAAATCTTCTTTAAAATTTTTTAAAAATATGTTTTTATTAGTTTCAGAGAGGAAGGGAGAGGGAGAGATAGAAACATCAGTTATGAGAGAGGATCATCGATTGGCTGCTTTTTTCATGCTTTCTACTGAGGATCGAGCCCACAAACTAGGCATGTGACCTGACTAGGAATCCAATAGTGACCTCCTGGTTCATAGGTCGACACTCAACCACTGAGACACACTGGGCAGGCACCTTAAAAATCTTCTAATTAAATTTTCTAACAACTCTTTTTAGTCAATTCAACAAATATTTATTGAGTGCCTGTGATAAGCCAGGCCCTGGATAGGAATCTTGAGTTTTCCTGTTATCTTCTCTGACTGTCATCAATCCTATGCTTATCTAGCATTTTTGTTTTTCTGGCCTGCTATCTGCTTGCAGTTACTTGTACATGAAAGGAGTAGAGAGGAAATACTCAGATACAAGCGGCTGATGAGTGTCCCTAGAGACTGAGAGACAGGATAGAAAATCCAGCCCAAAAGTGAATAATCGTCCAGGCGGAGCTCACAGTGTGTGCAAGCTACCCACAATGATTATTGGAGTTGGCCATATGTTTGAACAGGATTTTCTAAGTATCAA